GCAGCTAAACTTCACTGGTCAGACCATTCCACGTTATGGATGAAGTCAGTGCCAAGGAGGTCTGTGTCCTTGTTGCCAGCCTCCACACCTGCGTCAGAGCAGGAGCTCAGAAGGGTGTCTTGGGTGTCCAACATGATGCACAAGGAGGTTTGCGCCATAAGTAAAAGTCTCAACATGGAAGCCTCTTCATACCTTCAGACAGGGCTTTTTTTTTCCAAGTGATTGTGAATCGCCCCGTTGGGCGTAGCAGATCGGCTGCAGAAATCATTAACATAGTGCCTGCAGGCTGCTTGTGTGACAGCGCTGATTGTGAGGGCGCTGTTCGGCTTGGGATCGGTCAGTTGTGTGGTCTCGTGCTGAGTGCTTACTGCCAGCTGCGACCATTGTGTAAAAGTGTGACCCCAAGACATGAGTTCTGGCACAGCCTTCAGGCATCTCCTTTGGCTCTTCAGTTTGTCATTTAGGGCTGTCAGAGAAATTTGCAGTGGAGTCAAATGTGCTCAAACTTTTACAAATCCGGATTCCACAGCAGACCAGCTTTTTGTGAGTTGTGAGGATTCCTCAGATTGATCTTTTACTTTTGGGGGATTACATGAGTGTATGTTAGTGCAAGTGGGCACTTCTATGATTCATGCTTAAGCATATGCATGCATTAATGCAAGTTCATTAGCAAACAGGAATGAAACTCCTGAAAGAAGAAGAATGCTGGGATATAAATATCATGTAATAATAATTGTAGTAATAATACACCCGCAATTAGATTCTTCAATCAGTGAACAGCTGAATTAAAGAAACGGACAAGAAACTGTTAAATCCACAAATGGATTTAACAAAATCCATGCATCACCATTCTCACCCTGGGGAAGAACCCCTACCTGGGCCAAGCATATGCTTCTGCATACTTGCCCCTCAATTTTATATCCCTTAACCAGACCTGACAACCTCCGGAGCTTCCCACCCATAACAGTTACACAGAGGAGATGACCAGTCCCATCCAGTTGCTGTGGGTGAGGCAGCACCTGGTATGCCATGCAATGCTATTGCAGGTCAGCTACAACTTGAAATCATCGCAGGCCTTGAGCTGCATTGTTCTGATATGTGAAGCTGCATCATGCAGAAGAATTTCCTCATTAGGCTATGGAACACCTGGCCATTAATGGAGAGACAGTGAGTAATCACTTGGCTGCATCAAAACTTTGGAATGTAAGGACCAATTAGGGTAGCCATGTGTCCTACATTTCAGGGAACAGCCTCCTCTTTGACAGGCTGTCATGGGACAGTCCTCTGTCTGAAGGTGTCCTCTGAAGGGCTCTCCAGACAAAGTCCAAGTTAAAGATATAGAAGAATCCTGCAGCAGTCGAGTAATAGGGGGCCTTAAAGTCACCCCCAACTTAGCATCAAAAGCAGGCAGAGCGGGCACACAGGGAAGCTAGTCACAGTCTTCCCCATGCTATTGAGGTGGATCATATTCCTATTTGAGTTATACTACTGTTTTCCAAATGTACATTTACAGCTGCATATTAGGATATGTACATACTATGCAAAACTGCCTCTTCTCTGGTCCTCCTCTTCCACGATGCATTTCCTCCCTCTCTCTCTCTCTCTCTCTCTCTCTCTCTCCCTCTCTCCCTCTCTCCCTCTCTCCCTCTCTCCCTCTCTCCCTCTCTCCCTCTCTCTGGCAATGCCTTGGCCACTACGCTGGGTCAATTAATTTTATATTCTGTAGTGTAGACATCTTGTCAGAGAGATGATTCCCCAAGGGACCCTGGTAATGTATTTTGAAAACATGTGGGCTGGGTAGGTAGGTGGTGTGCTTATCCACTGGCAACACTGCGTGAAGGAGCACACTGTGTGCACCTATGCAGTGGACACACACAGGTGTTCCTGGAGCAACTGTCCCCTTGTTCATGACAGGCCATCTTCCACCAATGCCAGATGTTGTTCCTCCTCATCTGGGCTTGGCTGGTTTTGTTCTCATGTCAGTTCGTGGCTTTTAATGCCCTCCGTGCACTTTATTAATATCATACAGAAGTCAGGCAGTGGCATTGTAGTGGAAGAGGAGGCAAAGGCAGGCAGAGGCAGGAGGGGGTCTGGTCTAGTCTGGCAGATAGTATCTCCCAAGTGGCCACCTGTGCCTGAGAGCTGCAACTGAAAGGGAGTGGCCTGATTACTCCCCTCCCCTGCATGGGTGGGGAGATGCATTTTGATTCCTGACTTCTAGCTGAGCAGATCGTGGGAAGCTGTCCCAGCTGTCCCAGGGAGCGAGCAACTGGGAAGCGCAACCAGGAGTCTGGTGGACGAGGTCAAAGGGGAGGTCCTAAATATTTTTCCTTCTCTTTTCTTCTCTCTCCCCCCCCCCCCCACACCCCTGCTTAGTTTTCTTCCTTATAACACACTCCCATTTACTGTAGGACTGTGTAGGTAACCTTTAGGTAAGAAAGGAGAATATAGGCCAAGGAAGCAAGAATCAAAAAAAGTAGCACAACAAATGGACCAAATAGACTCCACAGTGGTGATGACCTGCAACAACGGTGCAAGGTTTGTTTTCTTGTCTGAGGGCAACATGGCCTACACATACAACAGGTACAAGCTAGTAGCCCTGTCAGAAGAAGAGGTGAGAGCACTAGAGCAGAGAGAGCCCACCCTCAAGGAAATAAAAGACGAAGCATTTATAGAAAGAGGTGGAACTGCAACAACAGTCAAGAAGTGCAACAGCAAGCTGAGGCAGGAGAATCCAGAGGGAAGGGAAAATGAGGATTTTGGAAAGGGGTGACAGTTTGGTGCAGAATAACTAAAAGAAAAGGAAACACTCTACACCTGTGGAAGCAGTGGAACTTCAGAACTGCTTTCAGTTACTCAAGGATGTGACTGGAGGGCAGCCTGCCATGTAAGAACTTCAAGTCGTTCCATGCAACAAGAGGCCAAAGGTCAACCAAGTAGTGACAATGATACCAAGGCTTGCAAGAACAAGAATGGAGGAGTGCTAGTCGTGGGAGGTTCCATGTTACATGGGACAGAAACACATGTATGTCAGGAAGACCCATGGACTTGTTAGGTATGTTATCTCCCTGAAGCACAGATTAGAGTGATAACTGAAGGACTGCCAAAGCTTATGCAACCCATTGACATGTATTCCTTCTTATATATGAGGGTACAAATGCAAATGACAAGCGGAGATTTAAAGAAATCACATCAGACTTCGACATGTTAGGGAGTGTTAAGGACTTTGAGGGCCAGAAAGTTTTTTCTTCAGTCTTCCCAATTCAAAGAATAGACAGGGAAAGAAAAATACTCCAAGTTAATGACTGGCTAAGAAGGTGATGCCAACATGAGAATTTGTTGTGAGCCATTCTTCTGTCACCCAGCAGTAACAGTCTCACCGGCATTTCGTTGCAAAAATCTCTTTTTTGCATGTGAGTCTTTGAGCATACACAGAGCAAAATATTGAATCCTCTCTGACATTCCTCAGCCAAAGCTTTCCTTGTGAATCCTTCTTTGTCTCTAATTGGTGGGAGGAGCACTATGGGACTGGGCATGCCTGCACTCCTCCCTCAAAGGCCGTATGACTATGGCAACGGACTATCAGATCCACCCCTGAGGAAGCTGGAGTCCCCCATCTGATAGACACCCCACCTCTAAATCTCCTCCTTCAAGGTGTCGTTGCTGTTCCCCATTCCCGCGGGTAGGTTGACTGCCCCTGTTTGTCTGCCCTTGCACCAATGTCCCTCATATCAGACACTGGCAGGGACCAACAGCCTTGGACTGCAGCTAGGACTGGGGCCATTTCAATACTTAACTCATTACCACAGTCGGAGCAGTTGGTCCCGCCAGGATAGGCAGCCTCCCCTACCCACATCCCATCCTCTGATGCTGAACTGTCAGTCCTGCCAAAACGAGGAGCCCCCATGTGTGCATCTGTGGACTGACCAAATGTGCTCACACGACAGATCCGGCTTCTGGAGCTACAGATTGCACTTCCTGGAAGATGAACTGCTAGCAAGTGATGGGCTTGGAAAGGATGTGTTTGTGCGCAGCATGAAGATGTTAATCGGGAGTATAGAGCAAGTGGTCTTGGATGTGGACGTACTAATGTCCTGAGTATGGGAAACAAACATGATGAACTTGAACTCTTAATGCACCAAGGGGAATAAGACCTGAAATTTTGTGGGATGACTCCCACTTTGCCAAGATTTTCCATCTCATTTTGAAATAATAACTCAGAGAAGCCCCGCAGGCAGATGAGAAAATTAGAAACATTCACACATTCAAAAGTGTACCACCATAATCACCATGCAAAGTTAAATGAGCTTGAACATGGCAAGTCAATGTTTATAGCAGCCTTGGCATGTAAACAAGGATACTCCCAACCTCAGGGCTGCATTAGAAGAAAGCCAATGAGAGGCAATGTCTAAGTGATGCACACACCATCAGTCAATATTCCATTATCAATCTACATGGCTTTTGGCTTGTTTGTTTAAATAAGCTTGAACTTCCCATCCCCAGCAGCCCCGATTGATCTTGCTCAACAGCATGCCTTCGCTGAGAAGGCAGTGGTGGCAATTTTTCACTCATCACCTTTTTGAGAATTCAGCTAATGACAGTGGTGCAAATACATTATTTTCTCACATCCATGGGCTGAACTTCTAATGACCAAATCTATTCATAATTTTGCAGTCAGGGTTTTCCTTGCAGCAGTGTAAACATATGGAACAAGCAATTTTTGCAAGCACCCAGATTCTCTGAGTATCACTTTGAAACTTGGTGTGCCTCATTTCCCATATTTGTTCATGTTGCCCCCCCCCCCGCCATCACCACCCCTTAGTGCTTTGCTGAAATTTTCTTCCACAGTTATTAACCCTTCTCATTCAATTGGTTGGAAAGAAGCAGCTTTCTAAAAGGAATTCAAGGAGGAAGAACGTTTTGAAGAAATTCTCATGGGAAGGTGTCGTGAGGTCATAACTCACGTCCCCAATTACTCACACAGACGCAGGCAATAAAAACTAAAGACCTTTATTCCAAATGACTACAAGATTTGTGTTTACGAAATATAGTGTAGGAGCTACCGCAGAGACTCCAAGCAACACATTTGCCCTCTCCTTTCTAACCTTTCTGAGATTTGTCACATGGACCTCAATCTCCTCACATGTCTCTCTCCACGGGGATTGGATAAACTTCTTTGTCGCCTTCTGTTCTTATTGGTCTAATAACTATCAGCATCCTCAGTTCCCCATGACCTGTAAGGACGACAACCAGAGCTGAGTCAAAGTGTTTCAGAAGACAGTTTTTCTTTCTTCTCTTTCACCGCTAGAAATAAAAGCACACTCTGAATTTTATCCAAATTTTCCATTTGCCCAATTTTATCCAAATTATACATTTGTTGGTGGGCTTCACTGTTATTCTTCCTGCTTCTAGAATGCCCCACAAGGATGCCAGGCATGGGGCACTGCAGAGAATGCCAAATACAGAGCAGGCTTCTAACAAAGTTGATGTCGTTGCCATTGTAGTGGCAGTGTGCATAAAGAAGTGCACACACACATGCGCGCACGTGCGCGAGCGTGCATGCATGCATGGACACCCCCCCCCCAGGAAAAAGAAAGAAGCCATCTTGCCAAAGGCAAGTCCTACTTGTGAGAAACCATTGGAAATGTTTTCCTCCCACTGGAGGAGTTCAGTGACATGTGAATAAATAGGGTGATGGATTTTAACTGGTTCTTTGCATACTTTTCTGGGGTATAAATAAGAGAACTGTACTGAAATGCACTCTTTCCCCTTTTTGAATAAAGTATTAAAGCATACATTTAAACAGTCAATTTTTTAATGCAAATGTATCTTGGGTTGTGAATAAATTTTGTTAGCAAGACCTGTGAACATAAACAATATTCTTATACAGTTTGTAAACAGACTGTAAGCATGGCATGGGGTTGCAGAATTGGGAAGTCTTTTTCAGCTCAGGACTAGGCAGAAGCTGGAATAAATGAGTACCTCAAATTTGCCAGCAACTGGAACCATCTGCAAATAGTCACCTCAAAGTTATGTCTGAGGTCATGGGAACAGAACAGCTTCCAGAAGATCAACTCAAGGCAGGAGAATGAGTAAACAAATGCATACTGAAAAGGATTTAAAATATTGTCCTTGTGAAGATATGGAGGGGCAGGTACGTAGGGTTAGCAGAAGAAACTCAAGATCTAATGCTCTGAAGTGAGCAAGAAGAAAACACCTTGAGAATGTGTGTCAAGAGCAACTGTCTTTCTCACTCCCAGCAACTGGTATCTCAGAGGGTTAGGGAGATATGAGAATGGAGTTACTGTTGGCAAATCAGGCAAGCAGGTCTTATTCACGACCCCAAATGCAAACACTAGCAGAAATTATTTGCAGGGAATTTTTACTGTTTCCCAAACCTGACTTTTTGGGTTGAATGTTGGCTTGTTCGTGCATTAGCCAAGGGGGAAATGTGCAATTTTCAGCTTGATCCGGGAAATGCTAGTTTTTAAAGAACACACTTTTTTCAAATGGAAATGTCCTCTGTTGAAAATATGCATTTCTCTCCATTGAAAAGGGGCATTCCCTCTGCAAAACATACATGCCACACGGAGAGGGTGAGACTGAGCTTTGAGAAAGAAATTATAGGACCTAAAGAAGCATTTTTGCCCATACTTACAACTCACAATGTGTACCAGCCTTTTCAATATTACTTATCTTTAGATAAAATCAGTGGAGGAATTTGAGGGTAATAGGGTAAGATTTTCCTCTCACAATGTTAAATGCCAAATGAGGAGGTCCAGAGCTCTGCAGTCACTCCCAGGCATCTGGTCCTCTGTGCCTAATATTTAAAAAAGGGAGATCATAGAATCATAGACTAGTAGATTGGAAGGGGCCATGAAGGCCATCGGTCTAACCCCTTGATACTCTTAGATACACCAACTGGTCCCCATAGACAAACCAGTTCCAAATAATTTAGGTTAGCTGCCAGCCAGAGCTTTCAGATGACACAGTGGTGTTGTTCCCAGGTTCATGTAGGGGCATAGCTCACTGAGCTTAGGCTGTGCTGAAAATTGTATGAAAGTTTTTGCTTGAATTTTTTTTTAATCCTCTCACTAATTTGCAGCTGATTGCAAAAGGACAGTGAATGTATTCATTCCGTGAACTCTGATTGGCTATGATCATACCTGTGGAATATATAAGAAACATAACAGTCATTCTCAATAGAATTCACTTTCCCTAAGTGACATCACCAAATAGAGAAATCTGATTGGATTTTTCACACTGGGCTGCAGCTGTGTGTTGTTTGTGATAACCTGATGAGAAATGAAGAGAAATGTCCATGAAAGCAGGTGCAAATAGTGTGCACTTGATTGGAACAGCTGGAAACAAACATATGTAAAAGTGCTCTTTTCATCTGAGCACAAATCTGCTTCGAGACACATGCATCACACAGAACACCACCAACTCAAGTATTCACTGTGCAACTGCATTCTATAATGTTCCTCTTTAGCTGCACATTTTTGACGGTGGAGGGCAAGGTGTCTCACGTAGGAGGCTTGTCCTCTGATTTCCTCATTGAGGAAGCCCAGATAAGCTTCTCAGGATTTTCTGTTAAACCAAGCCAGCAAGATCAGTCATTAGGAACACTGGGGGTTGTAGTCCAAAACAGTCTAGAGGGCACTATGTTAAGACAGGCTGCATCAGAGCTGAAGGATGAGAACTTGTTTAGCTTAAATTGGAGGACCAGTACTACCCTCCACATTTCCGCAAATATTCTGGGATAGAGAAATTCTGTTTTCCACCTTTTGGGGTTCCACCATTGACAGAAGAGGCAGCTTGTTCACCTTCCCGTGGAATGATTGAGGCGTCACAGGGCAACCATGCACAGACCTGCTGGCCCTTGTTCTGGCCAGGGGTAGTGATGTGCCAGTCTGTTGGATTCAAGCTTGCTGAGGTTCCTTGGAGCTTGAGACTGTATCCAAGTGTGAAATTGTTGTTTTTCTCAGGTAGATCTGTGTATATTTTCATGTGTATTTTTCCAAACATACCCCTCAGTGGTAGGCATCTTTGGAATGTCTGCTTTGTTGTGTCTTACTAGAGCAGATCTGTGTTCATTTTTCAGAAGTACAATCTCCCATGAGCATTTTTCCAAACATTCAAAAGCTGTTGAATGCATTTTTTTAGCCTGGGTAATCACTTTGCCATATGAACATATCAGCATCAATATTACTTTCACTTCTATACCACCCCAGAGTTGAAGGTCTCTGGTCCCCCTGATCTTGCTGAAGCAGTGTCAGCTTCAGGATTTGGAGGAGTCTTGGAAAAAACACTATATACACATCCTTCTCTCAGATTGTACCTTCCTTCTGCAATTTTCTTCCTTCTGCTGAGCCAGAGTGAGAGACCAAGAAGCAGGTTGCTATGGGGAAAAGGAAGAAAAACTCCAGATGACTGTTGTCCATGGACCTCTCCTGGGATGTGGGGTTTTAGCAAGTGGCTACCTTTGTTGCCAGCCCTATGTGAAAGTCTCCACGTTTTAGCTCAAAGATTTGACCTTTTTTTCAGAAATGAACTCACCTTGTCCAGCAGAACTGTGAGCCCATGAAAACAAATAGGAGCACGAAAGTGGAATAAGGAGGGTGGGCAGTTGGAAGAGAAGAACCTTTGAAGCAGGGAGGCTTTCCATCAGAAGAAAAGGGAGCAGGCTTTGGTAGGCCCCTTTGAGTCCCACCAGAGCTAGCAGGAGCCTCCTGTTGCGACAGGGAGAGAAAGAAAAGCATGGAGGAGGAGAATGAGAAGGAACCTTGTACAAGATGTGTTGCTGTTGTTCTGGGGAAAAAGATACCAGATCAAAAGGGTCTGCTTAAAGACAGTACATATGCCAGCTCTGGGGGATTTCAAATTTTCACACTTTCTTGCATTTGTAATTTCTCAGAGTTCTAGGAATGATGTGCTCAGACTCTGATAGTATCAGGAACTCTCTGACAAGACTTCTGGTCTTCTAAATTAACAGCAGCTACCGATTAATGGAAAGCAGAGGGGCGTGTGCAGCCTTTCACACACTTGCTTCATTAATTCATGCCAGGCATTGCTTTAAGCTGCAGTGACAAATATTTGTTCTATTTAAGGGTTAGATAAAATTAATGAAAGCTTGATCTAGGAACAAGCTCATTAGCTAACGAGAACCATGATGTAGTGGAAGCATGGCGCTTAGCATTTGTCCAGTGCTGCCACCAAACCTTCAATGTGTGGTCCCAGCATATGATCTATCTCTCTACTCCATCCTGCAGCGGGACTGAGGCTTACAGAGAGTGGCCAGATTGTAAGAATTTAATTTCCACTCATTTGTCTGAGACATTGCTTCTCCCAATGTCCATCTGCTTGTATCAGCCCAGTAGCACTCAAGGAGAAATGTGTTGTCTTTCCTGCCATCAGATCATGTGCCAGTACATGGAATGAATCCTCCTCCTCACTCTTCTCTTCCTCATCAACATCCTCGGCTGCCCACATGAGGTAATGCACATATTAATTGCATCTCATGGAGTTCTTTGCTCTTGCCTCATGGGCCAGAGCTGGAAAGCACCTTGATTGTGCCCATTGGCACTATGAGCTGTCCTGGGGCTGAGAAAGGTAGTTGCTCATGGTGCACATTCTCAAGGCAGCCTGGCTAGATTTCGGAGGAGGAGGAGGAAGAGAGGGAGGAGCAGGAGGGGGACTTGGAATGTTGGCCAGCTCCAGACATTGACTTGAGAGAAGCAGAGAGACTTATCTGGCAGCCAGACAAGAGTGAACAGCGGGTGGGAGTGGGGAACTTCTCAGAGACTCCTGAGGTGGGTAGACCTCTTGACCCCTTGACATGATATCAGCTAGAGGGTCACCATACAGAAAAGGGGCATTTCCAAAAGGCCCCTCCCAAAGGGATGGAGCCCAGGCATGCTCAGAAGAAGAGTTCCTTTTGGTGAAGACCAGATTGGTTTCAACAAGCTGCTCTGTGTATGTTCAGAAATTCCTGGCAAACACTTTGGTCTATAAAGGAAAAAATAGCAAGGCATCTTGGGGTAACTTTCCATATTTGAGTTCATTCTTGGGAAAAGACCATCAATCGTACATGGAACATGCTTCCTTTTCCCCTATTTTTATCCTTTTTGTGCTCAGATCTCTTCATGGAAATGTTTGCAGTTACTACTCTCTCTCCACCTCCATGTTTTCCCAGCTGTTGCTGCTTCAAGAAAGTTGTTTGGTTGTTTGTGTT